ATAGGCGTTGGCAGAAGTCAATGACGGTTTTCTGGTTTTATTTGTGACAAGCGTCGTCAAATATTCTGTTGAATCTTGGGGCATGACGAATTATCATTATTTAAATTACTTACACTTGAATTAAAGTAGTCATGATTTTGGCATCATCACATTGAGTTAGCCTATGGCAAGTACCTGTCGATCCCCGTAAACTTTACGGTATTTGGAACTGAAACTTTTATTTAATCTCTGGGGCAGATTGTTCCGATGCCGATGTCTAGGGGTACTTGCCGTATGCTTTTATGGTACTGTTCGAACTCTTAATCTGTACTACCCAAACTAAGGATTGAACTCAGAATCACTATGTCAAAAAATTCACGAACCAACGCTTCTGAGGATTATTGTCCTGAGACTAGAAGTTGGACACTTAAGCCTAATGTTCTTATTGTAAAGGAATAAGCATAAAGCGATAAACGATTTTCAAACGCGAATCTAGAAATGTAAATACATTTTATTACTGAGTATGTGTTTTCTTTCAAATTGAAAGAAAGGAATTACTAAGATCTTCGAGAAATCAAGTCCAACAAAAATATTTAGTTATTGTTATTTTCAACAAACGAAATAAATTACTTTAGTATGATAGAAGAAACAGAATGTGCCTACACAAGGAGAATGTCACGTATTTACGTTATTTTTTGAATGTGTGTAATAGTAGTCAGCAAGAGAAGCTGTGTTATAACTACTACTAACATATTCTTTACATAACTCCGTTCGTATAATTCAAGTGTGCTTAATTTAATTTTAAGATCACTAGGCTTTTGTAAAAATATGTGAAATGGTGAATATTAAATTATGCAAAAAGTTTTTAGTAATCATCTGTGGATATAACTCTGGTCAAATTTTTGCCGGAAAAAAAATAAATACTACTTTTGTTAATTTACGCGATTGTATTTAAACAGAGAAATAGGCTCCAGTGATCTAAAAGTTAGATTTACTAAACTCAGAAGTTTATTTGTTAATAAATATTTTTTAACATTATTTAAATATTTGTTTTTAGGAGGGAAAATATTGTTGATCATTTTCTGGAGCGATCTCTGAAATTTCGTAGCAGATAACAAATATGGTTGTTTATTTTTCAAAGGCTTCGGCGCGTTAGAAATAAAAAATGTGAATGTGGAAATCCAAATCAGAACTTACATTTTGCATAAAAATGAGTCAACTTCTGCGTGAGCCGGTTTCTGCATAGAATTGGGATTTTTAATGTTATTACTGAAATCTGTTGAATTTCTCTACAATTTTTAAAATGATTCTCTTCTCTGTTGCGGCTGCTGCTGCGGCTGCTGCTGATGCTGTGGCTGCTGCTGCGGCTGTGGCTGCTGCTGCGGCTGCTTCTGCGGCAGCGGCGGCTGCTGCGGCTGCTTCTGCGGCTGCGGCGGCTGCTGCCGCGGCTAGTTTTCTGTCAAACTTGAAGCAGTCCGTCGTCGAATCGCATTCTTACTTTTGTTGGTACTGCTGTCAAACTTGACTCTCTCTGCCGCCGCTTCAATTGTTTAAAGTAACCGAGGGTAGGGGGTTCACCACTGAAACAGCCAAATTTTGTCGCTTTTCTCCCCAATTTCCCGTGATATATTGATTCCATCAATAAGACCATTATTAGTCCGAAGAAGATCCTTCCTGGAAAGAAACGCATCAATAAGAAATTTGTTTCTTTTTATTTTATCGTTCGCTTACCCATTTTTGTTGGTTTGCATATTTTTTTGTTGGCTTATTTATTTTACCAGCCGGAATTTAAAATAAAACAAAAGAATTAAATTGAACGTGACATAGACGGGTATCCTCTACCCCTCGAAGTTGCTATACTGTGTAGTAATATTAGCACAATAGGGTATTTTCACCACTACGAAGGCACGGTGGAGTAATGGATAGCCGAGTTCGAATTCCAGTCGAATCCATTGCATTCGCTTACATGCTATTACCCTTGGGAAAAGTAAGAATTCTTTACTTCTTCGCCGGTTTTGGGTAACTAGTAGGACAGACCGGCTTCTATAGCCTTGGATAGCAACTGGTCTATCGTAGAAAGAAATGCCAAGCTACTAGGGAAAAAAATCTGCCTCGTCAGTCATGTATCAAAAGATACATGATCGCCTAATCGGGTATCACGCATGGCACATAACTGACTGAATCAAACTCGTTTTATGAACATCAATTTTAAAACTGCAGGGTTATTTTAAAAATTAGACATATTAAAAAATGTTCAATCTTATTTAAAAGTACGTTTGGAAAAGACTTAACACTTTTTTGTCTAATGAATCTCGCTAAGAGAACATCGAGTCAAAATACTAAAGGAAATAAAATCATACGTAAGTAATTTTATTTATAGACAGACGAATTTGTTTAGATAATCGATATTGATACAGCGAATTTCGCCTGACCACTGCAGCCGACACTGATCTCTGCGTTCCATTTTTGCGAAACAATAACTTCTTTCGCTGTTAGGCACAGAAGACGAATAGCAATCGATCGATTCCCAAGCAATCTTTCCCTTCATAATCGATACATGACGTCATTAGAAAATTAGCTTGTGACTGCACAAGAACGTTTATGCAGATCGGATTTTACTTCCGTCTGGACTAAACGACTGCAGCGGCACGAAAACTTTTAACAGAGAAACTATGGCTAAAGGTCACCTTTCTACAGAAGGTCGCTAACAACGCCTCGTGAGAGCAGCATACAAACTAGTAACGTTCAAGATATATAGCAGGTACACCACACCAGATACAGCTGCAGTAGTCAGTGCATTGAATATTGCTGCCATATATGGTCGTGTGCTACGAGTATATCTGTCGAATTTCTTGACAAAATTCAAAGTAGGCTCTGTAATCTAATCGATCCTGATCTGGCATCTCGACTTCATTCATTTTCTCGCCGACGTGACGTGGCCTCCCTCTGTCTTTTCTACAACTATTTCCATGGCAATTGCTCCGACGAGCTTTTATCCTTATTACCTTAACTGCATGATAGCTGCAACCGTCAGGCCTATTCTAATAGTTTCTTGTCATTGCCTGTAGAACTCCGTTCCGTTTTATCGATTCTTTGTCAACTACAATCTTCAAAAATTGAAATGCAACGTCAATCGCCATCTTATTCTTCAATTGTTTTTTTTTTTAATTGTCCTTTTCCTCTGCCGCCCCTCACTAAAGACTTTTCATTCTTTTTCACCCCTTGTAATCCTTTAAGTCCTCATGACCTTGCTTGGGGGGGGATTGATAAAAAAAAAACACTTTATCATTAAAAGAACGACTAAAATTACTCAACCAGAAGGTCTAAAAAAGGACGTAGAAGATAGATTTGGTTTGATTTGTTTGGTTTTACGGTATATCAACCTCAATCAGTTATTTAATGCCGACAAGATTTTTATTGCTGGCAATATTTTTCAAAAAATTATTGCTGGTAATAATGTTGGTGGTAATAATTTTTTTTCAGAATTCATTGCTGGTAATCATTTTTTTACAATAATGTATTGCTGGTATTAAAACCTAGCTTTCGTAGCGTTTTGAATACAGTTTGGAGTTGACTATTTGCCCATAGCTGGGACCCAAACAGGTGCTACAACTCCGGGTCAAAGTGGACCTGTGAACACCAGCAATTAAGAGGTGGTTTCAGGTTTTCCAAAACTTCCTGAACTGCAGTCGGATGTAGTTTATCGTTTTACTTAGGATATGTAGAAAATAGAAAGATTTAATGTCTGCTATGCAAACGGCTCCAAAGGAACCGTATGAGGAGAGGCAACTTGCAACGTCAAAGCAAGGAAAACAAATGCCAGCACTATCCACAATCAAAGAAGACATAAAACCTTTTAAAATATTACACAGAACGAAGCGGTAGTGAAATGACCAGTATTACTAGGATCCTGATATACTACTATCTGTCTTGACACACTTGCGGACGTAATTATTCTGATCTGTGATATGAAGTTCGTGTGGGCTAACATTGCTGCACTTGCATTGGAACTTGGCGTAACAACTTAACTCCATGACCGTCCAGAACCTGGTCTACGGGGGTTCATTGGACTAATCAAACTATCGCCGATATGTCACGTCGAAAATACACTGCAATTCCCCGAAATGTTCACCCTGACTCTTGAAGACCCATAATCCAGTTCATCTCAAACAGAATAAAATGAACACTTGCGTATCTCAGTCATGTAATTAAGCTGCTCTTACTATACAGTTACAGATAATGTTGCTTGTTTTCATACCATTCTATCAGTAGGTGAATTCTGGTATTCCAATGGTGTCGGTGTTTCTGTGATGACACTGAATAATTTGAGATTTGTTTTTTGTTTCGATCCCACGTGTTCAGCCATTTGTTTAAAATATTGTTTGTATTCATGGTAATTGTTCGGATGAGTTCTTCTCTGTGGTACCTAGATTTTTTAAAATTTAAACGCAATACCAGACTGGCGTCGAGATCTCATCAATTTAAAGTTAAGCTGGCTAGATGTAACTGTTTCTTTTCTCGCATTTCTCACTTGTGGAATTCCCTTCCGGTTTCATGGTTTCCAACCAATTTTAATCTGCAAAAATGTAAATGCAATGTCATTTCCTGTGTAATATCCACTTGATTATACTTCCTGCTCATTATTAATGTCTCTGTTCCTAATTCTTCCACACTCTGTAACCCTTCGCGTCTTAGTGGCTTTACTGCCTTGCATACTGCTTAAAAACATTCTATTAATTATACAATGGATTATCAACAGATTTCTTGTTTTTATTATAGCTTTTCTGCCGTTGCATTTTTAAAGCATTCGAAATAAACTGAATAAATAACTAGAAGGACGATGCGAGTTTGAAAGAAAATTGAATTATACAAACTCATTTCAGAAAAAAGTTTTAATAATATATATATATATATATATATATATATAAAGGATATTAGTCCGAAAGACTCATTGGATGGTAACAAGAATGAATTGGTCGACAGTCAGTGGGAAAGACAATCAAAAGAAATCCTAAAATAAATCAAGTCGAGTCGGGTTGGAATGGGTTAAATGAATCGGGTAATCTGACAGTATACAAAATCATATCGGCTTGAAACAACCGGACAGGGATATTGAAGGCGGCGACTGTTGTTTTAAAAAGGGGAGAAAGTATAAAAGAAGTTAGAGAGAGAGAGAGAGAGAGAGAGAGAGAGAGAGAAAGAAAGAAAGAAAAGGTGGGGGAGAAAGTGGGGGAAATCAATAGTGAGTGAGAATCTACTGAGAGAAAAATGATAGGATTTATAGAGAGAATGGAAAAATGATTCTCGATATCATGTATAAATAGACGTTGTTGTTGGGCATAACTATCTACTAGCGGAAGTACCCCAATATCCTGTGTCTGTCTGTCTGTCTGTCTGTCTGTCACTCTCTCTCTCTCTCTCTCTATATATATATATATATATGGAGAGGGAGAGAATGACAGACAGACAGACACAGCATATTGGGGTACTCTCTCTCACTCACTCACTCTCTCTCCCCCTATATATATATATATATATATATATATATAGAGAGAGAGAGAGATTGGGGGAAATTTTCACAGCTGCTGCTCCTGCTTAACGCATTGCTTTCGTTAAAATCGAGCGCTCTGGCTGCCGGTCTACCGTTTATATACATCACGTATATAATACGTCAAAAGATTCCCCTTTATATACATCACGTATATAATACGTTAAAAGATGTAGTGCGCTGATATCTTGGGCGTATGGTCTCTGACTGACGTCAAATCAGTCGCGTTTCAAATGTCTAGCTGCACTGATGAACTGAGATACAGCGGAGCAATCTGTCTGTGGTCACACACACACACACACACACACACACACACACACATATATATATATATATATATATATATATAATTATGCCAGTGATGATGGTGAGATTAACCATGTCCATACATTTAGCATTTAGTGTCCGAAGTGTTAGCGATAATGTCGGTTAGAAATTTATAAAATCTTTCTCTTAAAACAGGTTTTCAAGAAACTAGGTTTTTCAAGTTCACTAATTGTTAATATGAACGAGAGTTACCTTCCTTAACTTTTGACTTTTGGTAATGTAGAAAGTCATCATCTTGATTATACGATTATTTTCTCTTCCAGTTATACATGCTATAGATTTAGCTGTTGCTGTTGGGAGGCTAAAATGACGCGAGGTCTGCTAGTAAGGAAACCGGATTGTTTCTTATTCGGTAACGTCACTCTGCAAGATCAAGTGAAGAATTGTCTTCTTTTAGATTCATTCGCTTGAAGTCATTTTTAATCACTGATCTGAAAAAAAGGTTGTAGATGGAAGATAATTTAGATATTTCTGTATGTGTTGCACGCCATTTATATGACTATCGAGCGTTTAATAAATCCAGTCACAAGATATCGGTTTTTTTAATCGCTTGCTTTAAAAGATGCTGACTTTATTTCATTGATCCCGGAATTGTCCTTCTTTAGAAGCAAGCATTTAAAAAATAATTAAATTTTATTTTCGTAAAAATCTGCAAGAACAGAAAAATATAGGAACTAAAATTATGTATTACACATCTTAAAAATCAGAAAAATTCCTTTTTTAGGTAATCAAGATTTTAATAAATCCAATCACAAGCTATCTTTTTGTTTTCGCTTGCTTTCATTGGTTGATCCAGAAATTTTGCTTCTTTAGAAATGAGCGTTTAAAAAAATAATTAAATTTTATTTTCTTAAAAATTCGCAAAAACAGAAATAAAATATACGACCTAAAATTAAATATTATACATCTTTAAAAAATCAAAAAAAAATTCCTTGCTTAAATACTGCACGTATTTATTTCATATAGATTACATTTAATCTGTTATCTTCCATTATTAATCCATTGCTGGTCTGCTGCTAAGAAAGTTGGTTCACTGTCTGCTGCTAGACAATTTGTCTTTCATGAAACTATCTTATATAATTATAAGTCTGCTATTCAATCTCTACCATGATTATTGTGTTTTCCACCTACCTACGACTGGAAAAAAAAAACTACCCAGCTATTTGACTGATAGCTTGGGAGGGTTTACCCGGATTAAGGTCTTTTCAACGGTATTTGTCCAAAAGTGACCATAACAGACTAAGCTGAGATTTGAACTCAAGTCTCCGACTCCCATTTCTTTGACCATAACGGTTATGACTCTCGCACGTTAATGTAGAGAGAGAATGGGAAATCGTTGAAATAAATCATATGTACGTACGTGTGTGTAATACATATACATATATATATATATATATATATAGAGAGAGAGAGAGAGAGAGAGAGAAAGAGAGAGAGAAAGAGAGAGAGAAACACAAATAAGCTTTAATATAGCTAGACTATTAAAGAAAATTCATATGAAATCTTCGAAATCGATATTGAGAGAGAGAGATACAGAGTGAGTAAGAGATGAAGAGAGTATAATAGATAATTTGAATTTTAAAAGATAGATATTGAGAGAGAGAGAGAGAGACAGACAGAGAAAAAGTATAATAAATATTGTAAAATAAATACTGACAGTGCGAGAGAGAGAGAGAGAGAGAGAGAGAGAGAGAGAGTAAAACGGATAGGAAAAGAGTATAATAAATAATGGGAAATAGATACTGAATAAAAGAATTGAGAGAGAGAGAGAGAGAGAGAGAGAGAGAGAGAGAGAGAAAAAGCGAGAAAGTATGACTAAAACTGAAAGGAAAAAATATAATAGGTATTTTTGAAAATAGACATTGAGAGAGGGAGAGAGCGAGAAAGAGTTAGTAAGCAGAGTGGAAAAGAGTATAATAGTTAATGTGAATGTTTTGAAATTGATATTGAGAGAGAAAGAGAAAGAGAAAGAGAATGGGAGAGAGAGAGAAGAGAAAGAGAAAGTAAGACAGTAAGTTAATTTATTAAATAGATACTGAGAGAGGGTTAGATAGAGCGAGAAAGAGAGAGTGAGATAGAGAGGGAAATAATATAAAAGATAATGTGAAACCTTTGAAATTTTTTAAAAAAAGAGAGAGATTAACGTTAGGGGATGAGAATGTAATAGATTGCAAGAAAAAAAAAGCGAATGTTAGCGAGAGGAAGAGACAGAGAGAGAAAATAAAAGAAAGAGCGAGTGAACAAAAGCAAGGGAGGGAGAGAGATGAAAAAGACACAGAATTAGCTGACCTTGATGAAAAAAATATTAAAAAAAAACATTTATTTCTTAATTATTTCTTGCTAATTAACTTCTTGTGTCAATTCTGAATGTCGTTTCTTTCTGGCTTCCGGCGGTGTAAGAGGGTTTCCGGTCGACTAAATAGGAAATAAACACACGTTTCATCAATGAATCTGCGCAGTTAAAAAGAAAACAGGTAGAAGGGCAATGACACTCTGACAAAAGAATGGAAAACATTTCAATTTTCAGGGTCGTTCGTCATTGATTTGGAAAATTATTTGTGAGAAAGAATCATTTAAAAAAATTCAATCATAATAAGTTTGTGTTAATGAAACAATGCATATAATTGTGGGAAGGAATCATTTAAAAAATAATTTAACCTTGATTAGCTTGTGTTAATGACCAAAATGCATTTATTTTACAGCTACAAATATTTACTTTCTAAAATTTACAATTTCCTCCCTTAATCAGATGGAGTCGGCATTATACAGTGAAAATTTCAAATCCAAATTTAACTAGGGAGGCACAGTGAAGTAATGGACAGCGGCTCGGACTGAGGGATCGGAGTTCGAATTCCAGACAAATCCTTTGAATTTTACAAGGGTACGTAGATGATTACGTGCTAATACCCTTGAAAAAGGTATGAACCATCTTCTCCCTCCAGCTATGGGTAAATAGCAGGACAGACCGGGTTCTACAGCCTTGGATGGCAACCGGTCTTCCACAGAAAGAAATGGCAACCTAATACGGGAAAAAAATCTACCTCGTCAGTCATGTATCGAAATATACATAATCGCCTAATCGTGTATCACGTATGACACATAACTGAAGTGATATTCACTTACGCGCAAATACCATTGGGAAACGTATGAACTATCTTCTCCCCACCCAGCTATGGGTAAATAGCAGGACAGACCGGGTTCTACGGTCTACCGTAGGAAGAAATGGCAACCGGTCTACCGTAGAAAGAAATGGCAACCTATTGCGGGAAAAATACATTTTTTCCCGCAATAGGTTGCCATAGGCTGTAGAACCCGGTCTGTCCTGCTATTAGTCATGTATCGAAAGATACATGATCGCCTAATCGTGTATCACGCAGGGCACATAAATAACTGACTGACTAATATATATAGAGTAATTCTTAGGTATTATGCTAGGAACTTAGAGATTTAACCCCATATTTTTATAAAAAAAAGTTCTCTCTCAGATAAAAACATTCATCATCCATTCATGAATTATTTACTTCAACGATGTCCCTAGAGTGGCGTAATACGGGAAATTGGAGAGTCGAGTTCGAATTCCTGTCGAGTCGCGTCAAATTCATCTCCACACAAATACCATTATGAATCCATCTCATCCGCCTACATATGGGTTAAATAGTCGATCTTGCGTGTCGATTTACTTTTTACAATTCAAAATAGCTTTCGGCTTTAAATATCCCATGTAATGAATGGTTGATAAGTTTTAAAAAATCAATCAATCTGTATGGGTTAATAAACGTACAGATGTTGTGACCTCTAGGCGTTTATTGCAAGTCCCCCCCCCACCGAGTTTGAATTTATGGGCAGCGAACACGTTTCATTGATATTCTTTTTAGTCTCTGTTAGTCAAAATGGTAGCTTACCAAAACATACATCAGGACGTGGTCAGTTCTTTAGTGTTTGTTTTGATCGGTTATCTAGTGCTTGTTATTATACGTACTCTAGGATCTATTTTCATCGGTATTGCTTGGTTGATGCGTACTCTAGGATCTGTTTTGATCCATTCTCTAGAGCCTGTTTTAATCGGTTCTCTATCGATTGCATTGATTGATTCTCTTGGTTCTGTTTTGACTGGGTCTGTTTTACTTGATACTCTGGGGTCTGTCTTGATGTGTACCCTAGGGCCTGTTTTGATCGGTTCTCTATCGATTGCATTGCTTGTTTCCCTAGGATTTGTTTTGATTGGTACTCTATGGTATGTTTCGATCCATTCTCTAGGACCTGATTTGATCGATTCTCTATGACTTGATTCTTTAGGTTCTGTTTTCTTTGGTACTGTAGGGTCTATGTTTGATCCGTTCTCTGGCGTTTGTTTTGATCGGCTCGCCACAGCTTGGATTGTTTGGTTCTCTAGAGTCAGTTTTGATTAGTACACTATGATCTGTCTTGATGCGTTATGTAGGGTCTTTTTTATTGGTGCTCTAGGGTCTGTTTTGATCCGTTCTCTATCGATTGCATTGTTTGTTTCTCTAGGGTTTGTTTTGATTGGTATTCTAGGTTCTGTTTTGATCCGTTCTCTGGGGCTAGTTTTGATCTATTCTCTATGGCTTGTGTTGCTTGTTCCTCCAGGGTCTGTTTTGATTAGTACACTAGTTTTTGTTTTAATCGATTATTTATGATTTGGATTGCTTGGCTGTGTATGGACTTTATTTTGATTCCTACTTTAGTGTCTGTTACCTAGGATCTGTTTTGATTTGTACTCTGCGTATGTTTTGATCAGATCTCTAGGGCCTGTTTTGATCGATTGTCTATGGAATTTATTGCTTAGTTGTGTAGGGTCTGTTTTGATTGGTACTCTAGGGTCCGTTTTGATCTTTTCTCCAGGACCAGATTGTCTATCGTTTGCATTGCTTGGTTATCTAGGGTTTGTTTTGAATGGTACACTATGGTCTGATTTCATCCATTTTCTATGGCATCCTTTGATCAGATTTCTTATCGATTGTTTTCCTTTGTTCTCTAGTGAGTGTTTTGTTTTGCACGCTAGGGTCTGTTTTGATCCGTTCTCTAGGGCCTGTTGGATCGGTTCTATATGGTTTGTATATCGGTTCTATAGGTTGTCTTGTGATTGGTACTCTTTGATCGTTTCCCTATAGCTTGTATTGATATGTTTTTTAGGGTCTGTTTCTATCGGTGCTCTAGGACCTGCTTCGATTGATAATCTAGTGCCTGATTTGATTGGATCTGCTTTGATCTCTACTCTAGGATCTGTTCCTGCAAAAACTTTGCAGACTTTTAAGCAATATTTCTGTAAATAAGAAATTGCCAAAGACTGGATTCGTTTCATGCAAAAAAATATATTTAAAATGCTGATTTTTGACGCAGGGTAACTTGAATACTAAGAAAATTTGTTCATTGTGTCGTACGAGACAATTCTCCCCTCCAAAATCTATCTTGCATGTCTATAAGTCTACCATTCGTCCATGCTTAGAATGTTGCAGTCACATACGGTCAGGCTCCCCTTCTATTTACCTTGAGCTCCTTGATAAGATCCAAAGAAGAATCAGCAATATTATTGGCCAGCTCGGCTTCAGTCACTTCCCACCACTTGGCGCTACACGATCCTCTTATCTATAGCATTCACTAGAGTATTTGTATAGAATAATTCAATATATAGAGCATTATTAGTGTAGGTAATGGGGTTATTTAAGATCTACATTTTCCACTTTGATATTTAAATGCTTCCCTTTGCTTTCTGTGAAATTAAATTTACAGAATTCGCAAAGCAAATGATATTTTCTATCAAGTCACAGACACTTAGAAAGTGTAATAAGTTTACATGAAATAAAATGAAACTAAATTTAGCTGCCGTTAGCAAAAGTTTGAAAATTAAACTTTTCCTTCCTTTTCCAAATTGTGCTCATTGTTTCATTTCTCTTTCTTGTTTTCCCGTGTTCCTTTGACATGGATTGATATGATTTTATTGAATCAATCGCCGCCAAGAATCTGCAAAGTTATCGCTCTTGACCTGGCATATGAGCTTAACTCACTTTCTTCCCGCCGTAACATAATTTTCCTGTGCCTATGAATATTCTCATATTAACAGTAACGCTATCCTAAGTGAACTGGAGACCCTAGCAGGTTTTTATTATCGGTGGGTGTAATCTTAACAATATAAGGCACGCAGATGACACTATGATGATGGTCGACTCGGAATGAAAAGTACCTGCCCCCCCCCTTAGACAGGGTGGTAGAAGAAAGCGTGAAAAAAGGACTATCAATCGTAAGAAAATCGAATGTTTGGTCATCAGCAAAAGAAAAAATTTCAAGATGAGCGTTCCGAATTAGAGATATATACACCAAGCCGGTAGAGAAGTTTAAATATCTGGGAAGTGTTTTGACAGGAGATGGAAAATGTGACATCATGATCCGAAAACTCATTGGAATAGCGAAATAAGCATTCCAAAAGCCAAACATAGTCTAAGAAACGGATAAAAACTTCGTTAGAATGAAAGAAAAGAATGCTAGATTTCTATGTGTTATCCATTCTCTTATATAGCACTGAATGCTGACAATCTCTCCATGGATGAGGAGAAAACTGGAGGCAACAGAAATCTAGTTCTACAGAAGGATACTGAGAATTCCTTAGACGGAGTGTGTAAGCAGCATTTTAGTCATAAAGAAAAGTCCACTTCTATTCAGAATCAGGAGCAGACAGCTGAAATTCTTTGGACACACAATGAGGAAGGAGGGTTTGGAAAACGTAACCCTCACAGGGCATATTGAGCGTAAAAGAGATAGAGGAAGGCAGCTAACCACTTACATGACAAGAATGGAAGGCTCAAGTGGGTGGGAAACTTAGCACAGGGAGAAAAACTGCCGAGGGTCCCAAGATATAGGAGGCTGGGGAGATCTTAAAGGGAAGCGGCACACAGAAGAAGAATTGCTCTAAAAAGTCTTCCTCTCTGGTACACTGACTTCACAAATTTAAGCGTAGTACTAGATTGGCAGAAAGGTTTTGTTCAAATTGTTAGATGCAACCGTAAGTTCTATGCTAACAATTTCTTCTCTTGCATTTCTCGCTTGTGGAAACCTAACTGCAATTCGATATCGGCTCTCCTATTTCCCATTTAG